AATATGGTCATTCAAGCAATTGTGCTTCCCACCCCATTTCGTCACCTTCCAATTTTCACCATACGTTGGTTTAATTACCCTGACCCTCCACGGGCAACCTTGGACGTGTGCACAACATTTCATGCTTAATTTTGTGGGAGTGCTCTCAACCACAATTGCTTCTTGATGCTCCTTCATGAGGTAGCGCTTGATTGCCATCTGAGCCTCTTTTTGGATGTAAATTGTTGGTTAACAAACAACTTTTCTCCCAATTGCCAAGGACCCTGGATTGAACCCGAACTCTGCGTCCATGATTGTGCCTCACTCGGATAATCCCAATCAATATATGTGTAATGTGGAATTTCTGACCAAAAAGGATCAACAGGTGCATCGCCTACATGTACTACGTAATAATAATAATAGAATTGAATTATTTTCTTAATCAAAAATTGCAACAACCAAACTGTCAGTATATTAATTGATAGCATACCTTCAGGATGTTCTGGTACTTGACTCGATGTTGTGCCATGATGTACAACGATACGAGACTCCCCCAAATCATGCACTGGCTGAAGTTCAGTACCAGACCTGCCACATTCTTCGTCATTGTCCGATGCACTCGCATCCTCTAAAAGAAGACGATCCTCTATTGCAATATTTTCCTCATCATCTTCGTCATACTCCTCATCCATAACCCAAGTAGGGTCATGTTCATCTTCCTCAGACATGTTAACAGCAGGAACAACAGGAACAACAGATGATGATGCATTAAGAGGAGAAGTAGACCTAACTGACCTCATTGGTATGACAACTTCCTCCGCGGTTGTAGTATCCACATACAACTCTAAGAAATCCTTTCTACACTGGTTCAAGAACTCTTCCATTACCATATCGATGTCTTCGTCATCGACCACTTGCAAGCTAATGTATTGTTCACGTTGCCATAACCTTGCCGTGACAAGAGTGATCAATTGGTTGTCTTGAAGACATAATTTTTGACGTATTTTCTGATGCAGCTCAGCAACCGTTGAGTTTCGTTTAATACGTGATGACATTTTCTCCCCTACAAAAATAACACCACGACGACCTTCTTCTTTCCTACCGTTAAAATATAGAACGGCACGAATAATATCAGAATTCGCACTCATTTTTAAAAACAAAATTTTAAAAGATAAAACAAAATATGAGTAAACAAGTGCAAACTATCAGAGAGTTTAGCATAACAATGACAGAATTGTGAAGAGTGTGTAGGGGGGTGGGATTTTAAATAGCAGTCAGTTTAGTCACTCACGCCCATATTTGGGCGTGTCAACCCACTGAACACGCCTTATCTTAGGCGTGACCACACACGCCCTACGTAGGGCGTGTTTCCTTCACAAGCTCACGCCCCATATGGGCGTGTCTCTCTCCATCAGAACACGCCCCATGTGGGCGTGTTTGGGTGCTATAGATTCGTAATTTTCTGCAAAACGACAACTTATTCGTAATTTTTTATTAAAAAAGTATTAAATTAATTTTTTTGCCAAATAGTGTGTTCCTTTGAAAATTATAAATTAGTACTTCTAGCATAATATTTTTTTTAACAAAGTCCATTGATCCATTTTATTTTTAAGTTCATATCGAAATTTTTTATAAAGTCTTATGGGAAATGGACTTGTAGACAGAGATATCCATCAATCACGATGCTCTGCCTAGCCTTTGAAGAATTTAGTTTTAATAATATATGTTATAAAAATTCTCAACCATGAGATGATAATACTTTTAAAAAGAAACTGCACTTGGTTCGGATTCGAAGATTAAAGAGACAAGTTAGTGAACCAAAAAAAAAGATTAAAGAGAAGTGCTTTAACTTCCTCCCCTTATAAACACTGAAAATATAACATGTAGTCATGACAAATATATGCTTTGTTTCGCCCTTTTTTCTTTTAAAAAAACCTTTAAAATTCGTTGGCACGAAACAATAAAACGTGTTAGAATTAGTTTGGAATTTGGATATATATGCCTGTTTTACCTCAACTACGAAACAATAAAACGTGTTAAAAATGGCTTTAGTCATTTGTATAAGGACGCAATTTAAAGCGTTTAAAAGCGTTGTAACTCCTCTAATCAAGTGGGCGAGTTGACCACGTTTGTATGAAATAAGTGTGTGTGACATGAGTTGATTATAGAGGATTTTTTTTTTTAGTATATGATTATAGAGGATTTTAGCCGTTTATATGTGTCTATTATTATTATTATTATTATTATTATTATTATTATTATATACATTTTTATTTTTTATCTTAATGCATTCTATTATTATTATTATTGATTTATATTTAGACGGTTGAGATAATTTCATTGATCTCATGTCATATGACTTATGAGGATGCATTCCCATGAAATAATAACAAATTTTTTTAAATTATTCTTTGTTCAGATATTAACACTATTTCTCCTTATAAATATGTTTTCTTTTAGATTTTAAACTTTTAACATCTCTTGGTCACTTAATTCCCACTTACGTATTGAGTGATCATCTGTTAAGATAATGATTAATGAAAGAATATTATTTAATAATATTTAGATAAGTTATATATATATATATATATATATATATATATATATATCACATTTGTATGTATTTTATCTTAATACAAGTTACAAGGTATAACCATATATGTCTGAAAATGTACACATAAAAAATCATGATAACAGGTGTCCATATTTACTATATATAGCATTTACCACCTCAGATCCACCCGGCATTTTTTTTATTTTATCTTGATCTATTGCATTGGTTCTATATGCATTAGAAAATGATTTCAAACGATTGGCCCAATTATGAAGATTAAAATTAAGGAGCAATTACACACTTACCAGTTACCACCACTTAAGTTTATTATTTTTATAATTAGTTTTTTGGACCTTTTTTTCTATTATTCTTCTTAATGGGTCTCATTCATTTTTTTATATGTAAATAAGATAATTTTGTCTAATATGAAAAATGTATTCCCCATAATTGTTTGCTCATGAAATTGTGAGATAGGTTATGTTGCCTACCATTTAAATTTTCTATTCTCACCACATTCTTTTCACCATTATTTCGAATTCAAATTAACGATCCCAAACACCATGAGCTTAAACAAAAATATCTCATATCTTTTTTTTGATACCCAAAATATCTCATATCTTTTTTTTTTTTAGCCAAAATATCTCATATCTTTATCTTTCAATCTTAACTACTTTTTTACACCTTTAAATTGAATTCAAATTAACAGTCCCAAATAACATAAAATTAAACAAAAATAAACTGTTACATCGACGGGTCTTAAATCTTTATATTTCTTAGATTTCCAGATCACATATCTTTTCTTTCTTCCAAACATGCACAACTAAACTAAAATAAAATAAAATACTTTTTGTATCCTTGCTGTCAAATTTCTGCCTAAGAGAACAGAAACAACTTTATCAAAACCCAGGACAAACACAATATCAATCATTATGAAAAGCAAATAGGTGGTGACTAGTTCGCAACTATGAGTTGAATCAGTCGCCATTAATATATCCTCTCACTTACAGCTTGGACTTAAATCTAATTTTTAACTAGTTTATTGGGGTTTAAAACGACTTATTTCAGATTTTACTAGGTAGAAACAATTGCTACATTCAATTGTTAGTTAAAATGATGAACTAAATTTGATTATGCCTCTTAAGTGTGGGAGCCATCATGGGCTTTTATCATATGTGCGACAAAATTACCATTATTAGTGTATGATACCCAAAAAAAAAAAAAAAAACTTCAGATTCTCTCTCCTTTAAACCGTCATCGAATTTGATTATAAGGCTTCTTAAGTGTGAGCTTGATTCATTAGTATATTAAAATTATCTACCTTTACTTTTTAATAGAATGATGGAGAGATGGTGGTCAGGGGGAAAGGCTCAACCTTCACCAATTTATGTAAAAAACGAAAATTTATAGTTTTTTTAGGGGAAAAAAAGGAAAAGAGAGAAAAGCAAAAATAGAAAGTCGGGGTAAGATCAAGAGTGTAACAATTTTTATTTTATTTTTTATTTTGTTGTGTTTGAAAGATAGAAAATAGTTGCTTGGAGGACCTAAAAGAGATAAAGATGTGAGAGCCATCGATGTAACAATTCATTTTTGTTTAAGGTTTGTGGTCTTTGGAATCGTTAATTTAAATTCAATCTAACGGTGAAAAAAATAATGAAAGTAGGGAAGATTTAAATAATAGGCAATATAATTTATTTTGTTTTATATTATTATTAGGATTTTTTTAAGGTTTTTATAGAGAGTTATACTCAAATAACATGAGTTTAATTTAAAGTATCTTTCTGATCTTGTAAACCGATTTAAATTCACTTTGTTTTATACGCAACAAAATAAATAATGTTATGCATGTTTGGATTAACTTGTTTTAAAATTTGAAAAAATTATTAATATTTTTTGAGAATTTTTTTTAAAAAATTAATTATATTTTAAATTTAAACTGAACCAAACATGATTTATAATTTATTTTGGAAAAACTTTAAAAAAATAATAATTTCATTTAAAATAATCAAAACCACACATGAGTACTTTATCCGCTTACTCGCTATTTTATCTTCTGTAGAATCTATAACCCAACTCAGAAAATAACACTGAAAGTGATCTCATGTGTAGGTGTAATAATATTTTTAAAATTCAAAAAAAAAAAAAAAAAAAGTCCTTACGATAGTCGATAACTACACGACGAGAAAGCAAATCACAAAATAAAAAAAAAATAAATAAAAAATTATTTCTGATTTAATTTTATGTGAAACAATATTGACATGGAAGAATTGATTTAGTAATAAGTGAGACGTCTCTTTGATCCTACAGGAAAGTTTAATCAAAGCACTTGACAATAATTAAAGAAATAGTAATGTTTAGACCACAAAATCTCGAATCCAAGTCATGCATAAGTCAAATGTGGAATCTGATTCAAAGTTTGGTGGATGCTATTTATAATTTAAATTCAGCACTCAAACAGTTAACACATATCGTTTGTCAAGAACTGTTTGGCAAGCTTGGTGTCACAGCCAGACAGTGCTATATATTGACACCAAAATTTCTTTCTGGCGCGCGTCCCATCCCACTCTTAACACAACACAAAACAAAACAAACACATCCTATCACAGTTTAAATTCAAAAACCTTCATTCACTTTGTTCTTCTTATTTTGCTTCTGATTCTTCTTTGCATGGACTCTTCCAATTCATAAAACCCTTTCCATGAAACACCATTTCCCTCATGGTCACAGATACCAAACCCATTACTCGTCGGGGCCTCGTCGTCGGCAATTACTGCCATGACGTCCTCCTCCGCGACGGCCTCGTCGTCGCCCACTCCCTCGGCGGCGCCGCCTCCTTCATCTCCGCCGTCCTCGACGGCCTCTCTGTCCCTTACCACCTCGTCTCCAAGGTGGGCCCTGACTTCGCCTACGCCAACATCACAACCGCTCACCCTCCTCTCGTGGTCCCCACTTCCTCAACAACCCTCTTCCACGCCTATTTCGGCTCCGAACACCACGACCGGGTCCTGAAACGGGTCGGATCATGCGACCCGATCAGGCCATCGGACCTTCCCCGCGACGGTCGGTTCGGGTTCGGAATGGCTGTCGGGGTGGGCGGGGAGATTCTCCCGGAGACGCTGGAGAGAATGGTTGAGATCTGCGATGAAGTGTTTGTGGATGTTCAGGGTTTGATTCGAACGTTCGACGCGGAAGATGGGAGCGTGAAGCACGTGGGGTTGAAGGAGAGTGGGTTCTTTCACCTTTTGCCGCGAATTGGGTTCCTGAAGGCTTCGGGTGATGAGGCCTCGTTCGTTGATTTGGAGGAGGTGAGAAAGTGGTGCTGTGTTGTGGTGACTCACGGGAAGGATGGGTGTGACGTGTGTTGGAAAGATGGTTGCTTCCGTGTTGCGCCGTTTGAGGCGGATCAGGTTGATCCCACCGGCGCCGGCGACTGTTTCCTCGGTGGTTTTGCTGCCGGTGTTGTGCAGGGTTTGGCTGTTCCTGATGCTGCCTTGTTGGGGAACTTCTTTGGTTCCTTGGCTGTGGCACAAGTGGGGCCACCCAAGCTTGAGTTTAGCTTGTTTCAGGTTTGTTTCTCATATTCTTTTTTCATCATGATGACTATGTCAACTTGTTACATGGTGAACTTAATATTTGGGAATCGGGATAGGTGAATTGTAAATTTATAATGTTAGATATAGAATGGTTGGTTAATGCATTTGTACTTGTGGTTAATTTATTTGGTTGGATGAATGGTTAATTGAATTTGTGCTTAAGTAAGTAAGTGGTTGATTCAGTTTTGACAATTGGTTAATGAAAAATGTAACCCTACCATAGGGTAGTGTGACCCTTAAGGATGAGGATACTTGTGTTGTTGGAGTGTTACTGCGCTTTGTTTTATGTTACCTGTGAATGTGATGTTTGCTACTTTGAAGTTTCCCCCAAGATGTTCAAGCCGTAGTCACGTTTTTTTCTAAAATGATTAACGCATTTTAGAAAGAGCATTTGTTGGTTTGTGAATTGGGCATGAATTGAGAGGAGGGGGGGAAGTTTGAAAAGTACTGACTATTATGGATTAGTTTGAGGTTTTCATAGAGATTAACCTTCTATCAGATTCACTATATTGCAATCTCCAGAAGAAAATAGATATTTATATTTATAGGCCCTTAGAAAACCTAAGGAATGCTACATGTTCCTTTTCACTATTTTCCTAGTATCGTATATGTCCTACTTCCTTTTCAGAAGTTTGTTAATAAAATAAGTACGTATACTAATTACTAAGTAGAGTTGAAGATGTGAGAGGTGCACAATTGCAGGTGAATGAGAATGGAGAGAATGGGGAATTGTTTTAAGGTAGGAATAGTTTGGTTAGTTCTAAGATGATACTGTTAGACTTCTCGCAAGATGGAGCTGAATGAAATTTCAACTTTTTCCTTATGACTTGTATGGGAGCTGGCTATGCTTGTTAGTGGAAATTCCATTTACAGATATCTTTAGTTTGTTTTATGGGATGTAATCCTCAACGTGACTGCTACATGCAGACAGTTTGTTGGAAACATAGGATATGCTATTTGCTACTTATTATAGAGTCATTTTTCTAGTTTTATTATGTCAGTATTGCCAAATGTATCAGTTTTGCATTTTATTTCCTTTGTATCATTTCCATAGAGAATGAAAGGCTTTGCTGATGATGAGCAATTTATACTTAGATAACAGCTATTTGATTATACTGTTTAATTCCAATGCACATGTGCAACTGAAAACATGTTATTGATGGATTAGGTTCATCCTGAATGTCTTATTTCTTCTATGGTTCATTTGTATTAAGTATTATACACAAAATAATTTGTAAACAAATTGTATTCTTAAGTTAATACCATTTCAATCACGTTTGGACAAGGTTATAATTATGCAATTCATCTATGTTGTTTTAAAGCATGTTTACTTTTAAGTCTAATATTTATGAAGAATATTAAGTTGCAGTTTGCAGGGAATAATATGACTTAGGTTTGGGGGAAAAATCATATTAACAGAATGAGAAAAGTTTTAGAAGAGTCAAGATCAATTGACAGTAGAATGCTTTGCCGAAAAGTATGTTTACTCCTCTAGAAGCTCAGGTTCAATCAATTGACAATCTAGACATGGACAAAAAAGGGAGGAAAAAAAATAGGAAAGGGTAAATTTCCACTTGCTGAAGCATGTGAATGTATAAGTTACATATAATATTTCAGATATTATATCTCTCCAAGAGAAAGAGGATCTCTCCAAGAGAAAGAGGATGAGCCTGGAGTAGTGGTAAAGCTATTCCTTTATGACTGAAAAGCTTAGAATCTGGAAAACAATCCCTTTGCAAATATGTAAGGATATTGTACCCCTCGCAAGTTGGATTTAGTGGGGAGTGGTTTATATCTCTTCAGGAGAAAAATATTTTATTATGGGCCTGCCTCAGTTGGGGGAATGGGTATGGTCCCATTTTATTAAAGGGAAAAACAAGTATTATGTTGTAGGAAAATTCTTAGGTCATGTCATAGAGACAATCAATTGTGGGGGTTACTATTTTTAAAATAAAAGAAAAGTAAAAGAATTGATGGGCCCACTTTTATGTGTTTGTAGGAAAATTGCTTGTGTCATGTGAAAGGAGGAAAACATTACCCTTTATTAAAACTAGAAACCAAAACACCCAATAAAACTTTGAAACATGCAGGTTTGGAAAGGGTAGAAATTTGAAATTCTAAGTGTTTCGATCTCCTTTTTGGCACAGAAATGGTCCATTGTAGACCACGTTTTCCTAAGAATTTAATTATTAGTTGGAGTCTGTCTGTTTAGTTTGTAATTGATGAATTCACTTCAACTGTAATCACCTTTTTGAACTATTTCTTTTCTCCAGTTCCTAAGGACTTAATCGATCTTAAGGAAGAAAAACATAAAAATCAAATGTAAAGAATATCAAAGAAGAATAAAGGTTGAAAAAAAAATGTTAAGTTTGAAGGAAGTGTATGTAATCTGCAGCAATAAATATGAAGAAATGATCATATGCGGGTGCCGAAGTAGATTTGGTTTGTAGCAGATTATATATTGTATTTTTCACTCACTTCGTGCTTTGTCCTTTTCATCTATGCTTTCTGATCTGTTGGGCGTAATGATGTTTCCCTAACATTTATTTATATAATACTAAATTTCAGATGGTAAAGGATGAAATGCACAAAAGGAAGGTGCAGGACTTTCCCTGCTTAGAAAGAAGAGACGAGTGGCTGGGGTTTCGGAAGCCACCTGATCAAGATCAATTTTATGCATCTCTTGTTGCTGCCAAAGCCATAATTATGTGTCAGACTCTAGAATCGGAGTGGAATCTACTAAGCTCTCCTAAGGCAGTGGAGCATAATAATGTGAAGGCAAGACTTTCACTGAATTCTCTCCACGAGGAATCAATTCCAAGTGTTGATGATAAACCCTAACATCGTGGGATATTTGGAGCTGCAAATCTTTCTGCAATTCTCCAGCACCCTTCCTTTTTGTCTCAAATCTCGCTTCGCTTGAAGTAATCTTTCATTTTATGGTGCTTTTTGTACACCAAGTCTCACGTTTAGCCTAATTGTAGTTTTATTTACACTAAATTACTAATAAAATGCTCTTACAAAAAAAAATCAAGAGTTTGAAATTCCATTCAATGTTGTGTACCTTGTCTATTGTCACTACAAAAGTAATGATGAGTATATATGACAGTAACAGAATACTAAAAAGTTTTATTTAGATCCTCATTATTTTTCACTTTTTACACAGTAAAATTATAAAACTATTTGATTAATCTCATTATTTTCATGCTCAGTTTTTATCTTAAAAAGAAGGGAAATAGTTTTCTCCAATTGTAGGAGATAATTATCTCATGTCAGTGAGACATAAAAAGATGTGCCTGTAATTTTTTGTCTTTTTTATTTTTCTTTAACTTGTGAGCTCCACATTTCTTGTTAGTGTAGGAAAAAAAACTTCTCTCGTATTAAATGAGAGAAGTATTACCCTAAAAAGAATAAGAATATTTCAAGAAAACATTGACCAGCAGGAGATATATCCGATAAGTCTCCAACCTACAAATTTTTTGAATATATAAATTCAAATTGAATGAAAATGTTATCGAATAATAAGTAATAACACGTGGTGATTGTATTTATAGATTGAGGCTAAAATTTGGATTTACAATTTGATATAAGTACGAATTCATTTATAACATGATCATGACATAAATTTGAAAATATGATTGACTCATAATTATTTTATGAGTTGATATGACACAGCATAAATAATTTATTAATATTAAGATGTGTTGTTTATTATAAGGGTTGATGATACAAATAATTTGTCAATCTCAAAGTGTATTACTAATTATATGAATTGACACGACACAATACGAATAATATGTAAGATGATTAACACAAATCAATTTTCTATTTGCATATTGACATACAATGTAATACAATTTTTTTTCGTATTAATTTTTACCAATATAAATATGACACGAATTTAAAAATTTATCAACTCAATCACTAATTTATCATAGTGTTTGTGTCATGACTTATATCAGTGTTAAAAATTATCACCCCTATTTTATATAATGCATTTGATTTCCCCCAAACACGCAATGTTGACCTTTAAAAATGTTAACTCCCAAAGAAAAGATTCTTCCTTATTTATATATGGATAAAATAAGGGTTTTACGATGGTCACGTGACTGGATCAAAAATATTTTTCCTACAGACTCAATCAAGAGTGGGTCTACACTTAGTTTTTTTTTCCTCTAATTTTTTAATGGGACCCATACGTTGTTTGTCTCGGTCGACAGGAGAAATCTAATTTTCTATAACATAATACTTATAAACCCCATAAAATAAAAGTAACAATTAAAAATATCAAATCAAACAATCATTCTGCAATATATTTAAAATGTAATAATTAATAATTTTTCAGAAACATTCACCACTTGGATTTTTATTTTTACAAGTTTGGAAGAAAAATAAAGCTGAAAAATAACTTCTCAAAAAAAAAAAAAAAAAAAAAAAAAACCTCGTATGCGAAATATAATTTAATTTTGTTTAACCCCTTCCCACAAAAAGCCCTCCAATATCCACTGGTGGCGGAGCTTCTCCGGTTTTGCTCCCTTCACGAAATTGTTCCCCAACGAACAAACGCGAACAAGGTCTTTGCGTCGTCGGTTCTAGAAGTTTCCATCGCTTGCTAACAGTTGTTCCCTAGCTTGCACCGAAGATGGCAGAATCAATTTGTAGGTCACTAAGAGATGGTGCATTAGAGGGAGAGCTCGCTCCTTCTCTCACAATCAAGGACTCTCTCGCTTCACCTTTTGGATTCCATGTATTCTCTCACATTCTACTTCAACTCTCCTCACACGTCATCGCCCGAAAATCTCAGTCACAGTCGGTTTACTTACTCTTCATTAACACTATACCTCTTTTCTCTATCTTTTTTTATTCTCAAACTTTATATATCATGTTTTTCACCATCATTTCTTTTCTTATATAGTGCTATTGTGATCGTTGCACTTTCTCGGAATCCATCGTCTTATACTGATTTGTTAAAGATGAAGGGAGTGGATGTTGCATCTTCTAAGAATTGGTAAAAAAAAAATTTATATCTTGATCTTAAATAAATTTTGATTTTATTTTCAATACTGTAGGTATGTAACATATTAAATTGTATTGTTGTTCTGCAGGATTCACGTTTTGGATTGTTATACGGATCCTCTTGGTTGGAAGGATAAGATGAGGAAATCTGGAAATGTTACGGATCCTTCTCCCCAAACTTCAGTTTCTACTAGTTCTTATAAAACCGTGAAGGATTTGGATAAGTTGTTTTCGGTAATTACGGAACTGGGCAGAGGTATTACTGTTAGTTGTTCTGTAACTAACGTTAGCTTTTAATTTATGCTATTTTTCACTGAATGAACATTTTTGCATCAGTGAATGAATTTTATGATTTTATTAATTTTTCTAATTCTTTTTCTTTTGGATGATTTTTTTTTTTTTCCTTCGAATTCATATGCCTGCAGGATTGGTTGGAGAAAATAAAGCCCGCTTCTGTGTTGCCATAGACTCGGTATGTTTACATGCTGTGATTGTCAGAAAGTAAATACCATTGCCACAGCTTTAAATGAAGTTGAATTTAGTGTGATGGTGTGTTGGAATGAATATTCTTCGAGGCTCAGTACTTAATATGTTGACTGTATAAGCATATAGCTGAATACTTTAAGATTGTGAAAAATATGAGAAGTTTATTTTCTTTATTTCCAAGCTAATGCAAATAACCTTGGAACAATAATCTTTTGAGATTTCCCATCTCTTTCTAAGAATAGTATAACAACTGAAATAATAGACTCTATCTCAAATTACGAAGGTTTTGCATGGAGTCTGTGGGCTTACTTTCTAATATTCATACTGCTTCTATAGTTATTATTCAGCTAAGTGGAATTTTATAGACTTTGGCTACATGAAAAGGTGTTAGAAACTACTGTTCTATCTTTTCAGTTTACTTTGAATTACATTTGAAAGTTGGTTTCCTCGAGGTTAGAAGCTGGGGGTAAATTTGGTAAATCTTGGATGGAGTACATCCATTTTTCTCATTTAACTTTTAAAATTTTCTAGGAAATAAATGAGCCGTTTAGCAGTTAGAAAGATATTATATTTCAACTTAATGTTGGATATTATTTTGCTCTGTAATCCGTATCTAACAATTAACGTGTTTGTGCCTCCCAGTTTTTTATTTTCCTTTTACACCTAGAATTCCTGCGCCAGAAGGTTTTTCAAGAAATTTCAATATCAAATTGTAGAATGATAACTAGAAAAAACTTCCTGCTCAAGAATTCTTGCTGTAATATTCTATTTAAGACTGTATGATTTCTAGGTTGTCATGCATTATCTGTGTATCTGTAATCCTAATGGATTCTTGTTGGATATTATCAGCTAAGTGAACTGTTGAGACATGCATCTCTGCAGTCAGTTGCAGGCCTTGTAAGCAATCTGCGTAGCCATGGTATTTGCTCTTGTAATGTTTTAATGAAGTTCCTTGCATAGCATTGTCTAGTTTGATAGCTGATTATTTCAGCAGCTAATATTTATGGCATAGGTTGACTTGATACTTTAACAATTTCTTCCTTAAAATCGTTGTTGTCTATGTTTGCAGATCAAATTTCAAGTATTTTTGGGTTATTGCATTCTGACCTTCATGAAGAGAGGGCAGCAGCTGTTTTTGAGTACATGTCCTCCATAGTGGCCAGTGTAGACCCATTTCATCATTCTGCTGATGGTCAGAGAGGATATTTAGAGAACTCCTTTTCTGAACAAAACTTTACCAAGGGAAAATTTAATGTTAGGTTCAAACGTAGAAATGGGCGAGTTAGAGTGACGGTGATCTCTTTCTTCCTGTTTGTAAGCTTATTTGAAATGACTAATCTAAAAAATTGGTGCACTGATGTAAAATCTCTTAACCTGTATTCAGGGTGAAGAATTTAAAGTTGAGCTTGGAGAAATCAGTTTTGCACCAGTTTCATCAGTGGATGGAACGACCATTGCAGGCCTACTGCCAAAGGTCAGTCTATAGTTTCCTGTAGATGGAAAACTGGTGTGAAGTCATGTTTCTGTCACTAGAAGGAAAAGACCAAGTCCTAACAATCTTTTTGTAGTTAGAGATTTTACATAGTTTTCAGAAGAAAAAGGATCTACAAAAGAGATTTTTCTTCTGATGAGTCCCCCCTCCCCCCCTAAGGTTTTGCTGTTTTTGGTGAAAGGAGAACATAGCACTCACAATTGTTTTTTAAAATAATTAAAAAATAAAAACTTTGATGCTAGGAAAGATTACACTTAAGCATAAATTTGCAACAACTTCCCAGTGCCAATTTGATTCTTCAGTTGAACCGTTGAGTATTTCTAACATTGTAAGGTAAATTTTCTATGCCCTAGATTGATGATAGGATCAAAGTTTTATATCTAATTTGTAACGGGCACAAACTGTCTTGGAAACATCTGGCGTGCTGAAGCCAGGCCTACACATTCAAAGCAGCTAGTTTGTTTACCTACTCTAATACAGGCTTGAAGATATTTTGATAACAGAGTATATGTGTAAATGTATAAACACAGTCACAAACACGTCTGGAGACTCAAAAGAGACCGAGCAAGAAATGCTTTATGATGTGAAGTTGATTTCTTGTCAATGACTGTAAATAAATAATAGGAAGAAACATGATTTTTTTTCTTACAGGTACAATTCAATCTCCAGCTGTCAGAGAAGGAGAAAATTGATAGGGCAAAGGTTGTACTTCCTTTCGAACACCAAGGTATGAAATGTATTGTATTTGTTCCTTTTCTTACAGATGTTTGCATGATGTATATACTCTTATACTCTATTCTTATAGGAAATGGTAGACCGATACAAATTTACGATGGTAGAAGATCAGCTGAAGAGAGCAGCAATGAGACACCACCCATTTCAAGTGGTAAAAAGGAGGATTCTGCCATGGGTGAGATTATATATTTTCGTGATTCAGATGATGAGATGCCAGATTCTGATGAAGACCCAGATGATGATTTAGATATATAGTATACTCTTGTTTGCATCTTTTGTATCCCATGGTGACATTAAGGGTAGAATAGGTTTGTGACTAAAAAAATGATTAAAAAAATGCCGATATTGTTTAATTGTTCAGAAGTGAAATGCACAGGATGTGTCACATTCCAACATGTTGTACAGCCTAAGCCTACAAAGGAACGTGAATTGGTTTTGATGATTTTGTGAACGTTTCTTCCTCGTGCTCAGGCTTTACCAACGGTGTATTCTTGCAAGGAAAGCTACACCTCATGGGTGAAAAGCTCTCCTTATTTATTCACCATATCAACAGGGTAACATTCTTTGAACCATTCTATGCATAGAGGGAATTCAGATCCTGCTGGTTAAAATTTGTCCAAATGTGGAACGCAAAGTGTTTCATGTTTCGTTCTTCTTTCCTCTTGTCCTTTTAGGCTGAGGGTTGGTGCTTAAACTTCATCCCAATAACTTTATCGGGATTTATAAATGGAAGTACCTAATATGTAATAACTAAAAAAATATTGTGTAGCTATGTTAGTTAAGGTTTATTTATTCATATATTTTGTGTAATATACCTAGGGTGTTTTTAATCTCATGTTAAAGGAGATAAATTATCTCATGACATAGAGACAAATATGTGAGTTCTACCACCTGAAAAAATAAAGAAAAAGAAAAGGACTACCCAGTTATCGAAGGATGTGTAAAAAAGAAAACTAATCTTATGTAACATGATAATAGTTTTTTTCCATATATGTATAATTAGCTAAGTAGCACAGATATAAACCCTTTTGTTGTACAAAGGAGGTTGAAAACTTGAAATATATGATCAGAGAATGGTTAGAGGAGATTAAAATACAAGTGAAGCAGCTTGATCAAATAGTTGTAGTTGTTTTTAGTTTTATAAAGTTTGATGTGTAAATTAAAATGATACCTTGGTACGATTCGAATTGATGAAAATTAGTTTCTGTATAAAGAGTTATTAGATGTTGTAGGTGTACCAATTCTGCATTGATGTTAACATTGTTGGTTTGAAACTCCTTCTGTCTTCTCATATCTCTCAACGATAACATCATTTCTTAGCTCCTAAATTATAAGGGATGAATTATAAAATTATAGCTTTTTATTAAAAAAAATTAACCGATAAAATTGTCATAATATATATATATAGGGCTTATCGTTTCTCAAGCTGCTTGAGATAATTTTATCTCTAGCTACTAAATCATAATTGTACAAAGACGATGAATGGTGATAAAGAAAGAGAGAAAAAAGAAATCATAACCATTCAAAGTGAATCAATTAATATAAGGAAATAAATAAATAAAACGACGTAGTTTTGGCGTGACCGGAGATAAACTTATCTCAAGCTGCTTGAGAAATGTTTTTCCCATATATATATATGGGCTTATCGTTTCTCAAGCTGCTTGAGATAATTTTATCTCCAGCTACTAAATCATAACCGTACAAAGATGGATGAATGGTGATAAAGGAAGAGAGAGAAAAATGGAATCATAACCATTCAAAGGTGAATCAATTAATAAAAGGAAATAAATAAATAAAACGACGTAATTTTAGCGTGGCCGGAGATAAACTTATCTCAAGCTGCTTGAGAAATGTTTTTCCCATATATATATGGGCTTATCGTTTCTCAAGCTGCTTGAGATAATTTTATCTCTAACTACTCAATCATAACTGTAAAAAGATGGATGAATGGTGATAAAGGAAGAGAGAGAAAAAGAGAATCATAACCATTCAAAGGTAAATCAATTAATATAAGGAAATAAATAAATAAAACGACGTAGTTTTGGCGTGGCCGGAGATAAACTTATCTCAAGCTGCTTGAGAAATGTTTTTCCCATATATATATGGGCTTATCGTTTCTCAAGCTGCTTGAGATAATTTTATCTCCAGCTACTAAATCATAACCGTACAAAGATGGATGAATGGTGATAAAGGAAGAGAGAGAAAAAGGGAATCATAACCATTCAAACTTTAATATATATATATATATATATATATATATATATATATATATATTCTGCAACTTTTATGTTACATTGAACGAATATTCAGGAATCATAAATTCACATAATTTGTTTTTCTTATCGTTATTATTATGAGTTTAATTAGCAACGTTTAACAGAAAGGAACTGCCTTGAAATATTAAACATAATACCATAAAAGAAGGTGGCAAACTTCGTAGTTTTGCACATTTTGTAGCCTTTTTTCTCATACTTATTTCACAGTATTGTTCAGCTTTGAAACAGTAGCAGAGGGTGCCATTATTGCTTAGCATCCACCATCTAATTTCATTGTTCAAGGAAACCGAGCTTCCCTCTTTTCTTTACAACCTCATTCGTCCACTTCCCACCGACGCATTGTGTTTTGTTGATCTCCCTGTCACATAATAATTACAATTAAAACCACCAGCAAATGTTATATTTTTCTTTTCAAATTTCATTCTATATTTTTTTGAATTTATCTTTTCAAATTCATTCAACCTAACCATTAATGTCGTTTCATTTATGTCTTTACAAATTTCATTTAATCTGAACATTAAATTTTCATTCAATTCAAACAAATAGCAAGTGTTATTTTTACTTTTTCAAATTTCATTCAATTTGTTTTATTAATTTTTTACAAATTCAATTATATACATTTAATGCCGATTAAGTTATGACTAACAGTGAAAACTGCAGATAACCCAAGAGTCAAATATTTTAGTTGAGTTACTGATTTTTGGGATGAGCACTAAATTTTTTTCCTAATCCTTCACTTGGATTATTGTGCCCTTTGAATTTTTCCATACATATTGTAATTCCAAACGATTTTCAAATTACTATCATTTTAAAATTCTAATTTTGTTTTATTTATGACTAACTGTGGGAACACTATAATAGCAATTAAGAAATTGAAGCAATCTGCATTGCAAGTGAAGCACTATTTTAGCTCAGTTGTTAAGTTACCACAACTTTTAAGTTTTTCATACCAATAGAAATACAACAGGTATAATAAATAATTCAAAAGTTTTAATAGACTCAACAACTTTCAATGTTAGTTTAAAAATATAGTAATATATGAATTTTTAAATTATTTAAAATCCCTAATTGAATATTAATGGTTTTGCAATCAAAAATAATTTTTTAAAATCTTAATTGAATACACCCTTTAAATAATAATAAAAATTTTGGTTTCGTAGATATTATTTAAAAATATATTAATCCCTAATTTGAAATCAATTCAGAATTCGAATTTCAAAAGTGTGAGGAATGAGAAGAAAATCGAAATATGTGCATTTAAAAGAAAAAAAACAATACCTGATTGTGAAAAGATTTTCACGATTTTCACTGTATCAGAGAGAATAGGAGTTAAGAAATTGAAAAGAAAAACTAAAACTCATTCTAAAGAATTCAACATTAGCAACTAAAAGAAAAGAAAAAATGAAAAGAAACATAATGCATGATAGAGAATTCAAAATTGAAGAACTGAAAAAGAATACCTAATTGTGAAGGGATTTTCACGATTTTCACTTCATCAGAGAGAATAGGAGATCAAAAATTGAAAATGCATGATAGAGAATTCAAAATTGAAGAACCGAAAAAGAATACCTAATTATGAAAGGATTTTCACGATTTTCACTTCATCAGAGAGAATAGGAGTTTAGAAATTGAAAAGAAAAACTAAAACCCATTTCAAAGAATTCATCATTAGCAACTAAAACAAAAGATAAAAAAGAAACATAATGCATGATAGAGAATTCAAAATTGAAGAACTTAAAAAGAATACCTGATGGTGAAAGGATTTTCACGATTTTCAATGCATCAGAGAGAATAGGAGTTAAGAAATTGAAAAGAAAAACTAAAACTCATTCCAAAGAATTCAACATTAGCAACTAAAACAAAAGAAAAAAAATGAAAAGAAACATAATGCATGATAGAGAATTCAAAATTGAAGAACTGAAAAAGAATACCTGATTGTGAAGGGATTTTCACGATTTTCACTTCATCAGAGAGAATAGGAGATCAAAAATTGAAAAGAAAAACTAAAACTCATTCCAAAGAATTCAACTTTAGCAACGAAATCTGAAGAAAAAGAAAAGAAAAGAAAAATATGCATGATAGAGAATTCAAAATTGAAGAACTTAAAAAGAATACCTGATGGTGAAAGGATTTTCACGATTTTCACTGCATCAGAGAGAATAGGAGTTAAGAAATTGAAAAGAAAAACTAAAACCCATTTCAAAGAATTCATCATTAGCAACTAAAACAAAAGATAAAAAAGAAACATAATGCATGATAGAGAATTCAAAATTGAAGAACTTAAAAAGAATACCTGATGGTGAAAGGATTTTCACGATTTTCAATGCATCAGAGAGAATAGGAGTTCAGAAATTGAAAAGAAAAACTAAAACTCATTCCAAAGAATTCAACTTTAGCAACGAAATCAGAAGAAAAAAAAAAGAAAAGAAACATAATGCATGATAGAGAATTCAAAATTGAAGAACCGAAAAAGAATACCTAATTGTGAAAGGATTTTCACGATTTTCACTTCATCAGAGAGAATAGGAGTTCAGAAATTGAAAAGAAAAACTAAAACCCATTTCAAAGAATTCATCATTAGCAACTAAAACAAAAGAAAAAAAAGAAACATAATGCATGATAGAGAATTCAAAATTGAAGAAATTAAAAAGAATACCTGATGGTGAAAGGATTTTCACGATTTTCAATGCATCAGAGAGAATAGGAGTTCAGAAATTGAAAAGAAAAACTAAAACTCATTCCAAAGAATTCAACATTAGCAACTAAAACAAAAGAAAAAAATGAAAAGAAACATAATGCATGATAGAGAATTCAAAATTGAAGAACTGAAAAAGAATACCTGATTGTGAAGGGATTTTCACGATTTTCACTTCATCAGAGAGAATAGGAGTTCAGAAATTGAAAAGAAAAACTAAAACCCATTTCAAAGAATTCATCATTAGCAACTAAAACAAAAAAAGAAACATAATGCATGATAGAGAATTCAAAATTGAAGAACTTAAAAAGAATACCTGATGGTGAAAGGATTTTCACGATTTTCAATGCATCAGAGAGAATAGGAGTTCAGAAATTGAAAAGAAAAACTAAAACTCATTCCAAAGAATTCAACATTAGCAACTAAAACAAAAGAAAAAAAATGAAAAGAAACATAATGCATGATAGAGAATTCAAAATTGAAGAACTGAAAAAGAATACCTGATTGTGAAGGGATTTTCACGATTTTCACTTCATCAGAGAGAATAGGAGATCAAAAATTGAAAAGAAAAACTAAAACTCATTCCAAAGAATTCAACTTTAGCAACGAAATCTGAAGAAAAAAAAAAGAAAAGAAAAATATGCATGATAGAGAATTCAAAATTGAAGAACTTAAAAAGAATACCTGATGGTGAAAGGATTTTCACGATTTTCACTGCATCAGAGAGAATAGGAGTTAAGAAATTGAAAAGAAAAACTAAAACCCATTTCAAAGAATT